ATATGTATGTGGAGTCTAGTACTTGCATATCCGTAATCCACTGTAGGATGGATGGACCGACTAGGGGTAGTTGAAGGATACCACTTAGCTATCTTCCTCGCCACTTTATTAATAATACCTCTCTAAGGTGGATTTCAAATATGAAATTTGGATTTATTTTATTTTTTGACCAAAAATGCAAGTAAGTGTATTTTGAAATTAAAATTGAATATAAACGAGATACACCAACATTAAACTGCCGAAAGTGCTGTAGGGCTCATCACTGATGAGACAGGCTCTCCTAATATTTCTTCCGTTGTAGAAAGGTCAATGAAATAAGTTATTTTTTTACTTTAAAAAATCGCTTCAAAAACAATTTTAATTTCTTATATTAGCAGCAGTATATCGACCAATTTCTTTCGAAGACTTCGAAGAAACTTCAGGGCATTTTGTAGGGATCAGGAAAGTATAAAGGAAGGTATCACATTCCTAGTCCAGGATTTACTGAGAACGTCCATAGACAAATGTAGTCATGATGGGACTTAATGCCAGGTTATTGGCCAGTCCTTGTCGTTTTGCTGCAACAGCTGTCTTCGGATCTGATTTTTGGGAGCAGTACTTCTCCGAATTGATGGTCTAATTGACCGTGTGTCAGCGATTTTCATAATGAACTCGGCGCTTTTTCGTCACGTTTCAAGAGGGAATAGCAAGCCGATATACGAGCAAGAAGAATGCGTTTCTTCAGATTATCACATACCGTGCTTTTTTGAATGTTTGATCTTACTCATAGCTTTTGCACTTAAAAACGAGATTCCTTCAGCAGATTCTCCTTTACCCTAGAGGACGCCAAGCTAGCGCTTTGTCGTTAAATCTTTAAGTAGACATCCCTTCAGAGAAGGCTGATGTAAATATTTATTTTTTTTTATATATATATTTTACTTTCTTTTATAAATATGTAATTTTTTTTTCTTCTTGGTACTATATAATTTTATATGGGCGATCAATAAAAGTTGTTTCAATCTCTCTTTAAGTCTAAATTCACAGTGTTGGAATGTCATCAACCACCTCAGAATCGTGTCATCAGAAACACCACCAGGTCCATACACTGTATAAGCCTTGTGGAATATCTTGCATCTATTCATACCAGACATTATATTGCAAAAATTAAGTCTATGGTTTTCCATCTTCACTTTAGCGCGCACAGAACCAGATTTACTACACAGGATGTTAACCTCAAATCAACATTATAGGGAAAAACCACTTTTGTCTTATAAGAGAAGAAATCAATGCCTTGAAGATTAAACTCGAAACGCATGCCCAAACGAAAAACATCAAAACTTTCCGCGGATGACTCAATGTATAGAATTGAATCTAACTACCTTTTTTAAATCAATCCATGGCGCAGAATTGAACGGAGAAATTGCCCTTACGGAAATTACTGTAAAAATATCTGGGTTAAAAGAAAATAAAGCACCGGACGATGATAATCTATCTAATGAAGTAAATTTAGGGCTTCAACAGAACACAATACGTTCTATTTTTAAGAGATATTTATAGCTAAAGATTTAAAAATACGGTTTAATTTCCGCCAATTTGTCGCACAGATTCACCCTATCTTCAAAATTGGTGACCCAAATATTTCCCCTATATTCTCGTCTATACTGACAACTAGAGTAAATAAGTGGATATACAGAATAAAGGGAGTTTTGACGAAATTCAGGCTGGATTCAGAAAGGGATATCATATTTACACTCTTACTGCACTTATATATATACTAGCCAAATGACCCGGCCAACGCCCGTGTTTTACCCCCGATTGAATGTTTTGATTCAAATACTATTTGTTACAATTATAAATTGGCGCCTTAAATAAATGCATATATTAGTTAATAACTATAGCCTATGTGCTTTATCTGTCTATGTACTGTTGGCTTCCGTAGGCGTCTCATACTGGGAAAAAGAAAGAGAGGATTCCATTTAGTTATTAACTAATATATGCATTTATTTAAGGAGCGACCCGCTCCAACACAATAGTAACAAAACGAAAAAGCGAGTGGGGGAGGGAGGCATGATGGGGGGGGGGGGGGGGGGGGGGGGGGGCAAAGGTGGCGTGATCGTAGCCAACCAATAGGAGGGCGCCATTCCAAAAAAAAAAAAAGCAAACGGTGACAGAGTTGATTAGGAGATGAGGAATGACGCTCGTAACTGTATATAGAATATCTATATATACTAGAACGGCAGCCATTTTTAAACCGTATTAAAGTTTTATCTTATAATATAACATATAGAAACTTTAACACACATCGCACATGCGAAGATAAATGATAAAAATAATTAAACCTATAAAAATGTGCCGATGTAAAAAATCTAACTACTCTAACGCCACCAAAACTTTCCATTATGCAATCAGGAGATCAAGTTCCATATTCCTATAATGCAACGAAAAATAAGTTGAATAATAAACAATTTATAAAATATACTGCAGGTCTTTGATCTTCTGTTTCAAAATTAATTCGAAATCTTTGTGCCTCTTATATTTTCCGCAATCTTTCAGGTTGGCGATAGGAACCTGAATTTTGGATGTCTTCCTAATTTGAAGTATCAACTTAACTATAAAGTATCAACTCTCCCAGCGGCATCACACATCCCAGACATCGACATTACGATGATGACATTTGAAGCAGATTGCTGAATTATAATGGATAAACATCCAGAGAGAAAAGCTTAATATCATTTAAAATAAATGTATTCAACTGTAAATACAAAGCGCGATGTCCCGCCAAGTACACTGGCGCCCAAAGGAAAGCAATACAAGAGAGAGAGAGAGAGAGGGAGAATCTATTTATATATCCAAAAACATATGCTCAAGGCATTTACCATATTCTTGAAATTGATTTCAAACAAGCATACTATATACATAGGTAATTTAATTTAAACACACCTCAAAATAAAGAAAAAAGGAAAAAAAAACATATATACAGCACATAGTTAATTATACCTAACACTTGAGATTATTTAAAAACTTTGATATAAATTTACAAAATCTATTGAATACAATGTATGAATCCCTGCTGGATATCAGTTCTCTTGGATCGGTACAGAGAATACCGTTACTGAGTCTGTAGTCTTGAAATGCTGGGCACTTAAGTAAAAGGTGAGTAGAATCTTGAATGCGGCATCCACAAAAACAGCCCGGATCCTCCGATGCGCGGATTCTTTCCAGAAAACTCCCGAAATTACCATGGTTGGTTACAAATTGTGTGTTGTGGAAATTAGGACGAAAATAATTTGGAATACCCCGGTTGAAAAAACTTGTAAATGTCTCGTTTGTGTTATTCATGTAAATTCAATAAATGTAGATAACCCTAGAAGAAACGCGGTTGTTGTTATATCTCTCTGCCCACCAAGACTGCGTATAGCTGAATATCTATTTAGCCATACGTTTACCATTATTTGCTTTCCTTCTTAGACTCGGGGACAATTCTATATATGATGGGATAAATCGATAAAAGTATTTTGTTGGTATTGTTAATTTATGAAATTATTATTTAAAATTTCAACTTGGGGTTTTTGAATGACCATGTTAATGGTTAACTTTCCAGGCAACGGGCATGTATGCAACAGATGAAGATCGACCTTGAATGGTACGGATTCGTCGAACTTTTGTTTTTAAATATTTAGAATCAACACGAATCTCCTTTGGAAATAGAATGTTTGAATGTTTTTATTGGAATACGCATCGTCCTTCTATATATATATATAACTCTACACGACAATGTAGGAGTTTTGCGAATGTTTTTACTGCATTTGCACATGTCTACACTTGTAGAAATCAGTTTGACTTTTTTACTCTAAAGATTCCAGAGCTACTTTTGCTATGTTCTCTCACTAGTGGGGTTGAACTTCCCGGATAGTTGGCGACTTTAGTACGTGGCTCCAGGTCCGGGTCCTGGTTGTTCAAAATCGGCACTGCGTACCACCACGTCATCAGAGCCTACAGCACCTGGTGGTCCCAAGTACTGCCCGGGCCCGACGTTGCTTAACTTTAGCGATCGGTCGAGAACTGGCGTGGCCGTATTATGCATCTTCTATACGTATAGATATCTTAATATTTTCAGGAAACCTGTAATATGTGGATCAAACCAGCCTTAGTATATTGTAACTAACATTAGCATGTTATTTAAACTCTTTGACAGAACTTAAGAAAGTGGAAATTTATATCGCCGGTCGTCTGTCTGTTTTTTTTTAAGCTAAAGACAATTTTGTTCACACTTGGTTATCTCATGCGTCTCCAATAAAGATCACTATGTATGAAATATCTTTCAGAGTTATTGTCCTGATATATACATGCTGAAAGGTACAACTTCCTTAAGTTTTGTCCAAGGGTGTAAATATATTATATCAGAGTTAAGCAATCTGGGCCTGGTTATAGAGCAATTGGAGATTGTGAGGGGCACAAACATCCGTGTTTGCTGCTTGGCGGCAGGCAATCAGGCGACGATGATGGGTCGCCATAATTAGTGCACCACATTGGGTAAATATCTTGTTGACCCTAGTCGGCTATCTGGCTGTTTTTATAAATTACTTTATCGCAGGACCTTTGGGCCTCCACTTTCACTTGACCATGATTGTTGTTGTTCTGCCCCGGAGAGATCGATTGCTACATCTGTGTTTGATCTAGAGGTTCAATTATATTGAGTTGTGTCACACTTATATAGCACATTAAATACAATGTGGCTATATACGAGCATTTACCCTTTCTTACAGTTTCGGCCAAGAAAGATCGTCATCAAGTAAGTGGGGTTTATTTAACATGAAGACACGGTGGTCAGGTTTCATTTACCTCGAGCGAACTCCTTGTAACTTACTGTATCAGGGAGATAACTGGAATAACCCCAGTGTTGCCAAATACGATGGGAGAGAAGACCCACGCCAATGGATGTGTCGCCCGAAATGCCGCCATGAATTTAGTTAGCAGAGCATGGTACGATCTACGTAGGATAATTCATTCAGACTGGGAACCATTGAAAACTTTATTTTTCCATAATCCTACAGCTAGGTACAGATTGTGGTGAGTGGTAAACGGCTTTCCGACCTTTTTTGCTGAAACAAATTAATTCGAGGGCTTCATCCCTTCGCCTAATAGATTGAGTAGATAATTTCTGTAGAGACACAGAGCCCGCTCTCTCTACGGTAGCCATCTGGAGAGGTATTCTACCCAGTGATAGATATAGGGATGTTCCACTAACTTCTTCAACCTTACAACTATTGGTCTAATAAGGTCGATACAATATTAAGCTAGAACATTAACCCACAGTTCGAGCACATCCAACAGAAAATAACCTAAAGCTGTGTCGATGTAACCTATCCATACTCAGGCCGCTATAATTTACCCTTACAGGAGATCAAACGTCCCTTTAATACAAATATTTAAATAAAAATACTAATATATCGATATTATTCATAAATCCAACACCCCTTTAAGTAAATTTTGTTTTTAAAGGCATAAATATGATGGCAAAATATTTTTAGCATGCAAAAACATACAAGAGCGTAAATTTCATTATTCAAATCCTTGCCATTCATTTATTACCTCGATTTAACCACAGAGCTAAAAATATGTATATTCTCGCATAGGCTACCTCAACGCTGATTGGCTGTTTAAGGTCATGTGGTAGAATACAGCTAATCAACATAGGAATAACGGGACACCATATATTATAGTGTCTCAAGCAACTTGGGGAATTGCTGATAAGAGAGAGACTAACTACAATACGAAAGGCGCCGGTTAGACCTATCTCTGCTGAGTCCTGGTCGTCCTCGGCAGGTGTAATAACCAGCGTTCCTTGCTTGTAAGGCGATCACGTAGTTATAGTTAGGCCCCAGCTAATTAGCCTGGCCATGACGTCACTGAATACCTAATCACTGGCGGCACAGTGAAGGTAGACTGGCTGACAGCCGCACAGAACGTGAAACACCTACTTCTCTATAACCGTCCTGGTTCTACAATTTCTGACAGAGATGGTCGTCTAATATCCCATTTTCGACAATAAGGTGCCGGTATCCAAACTCGCATTGAAGGAGTTTTTTTTTTTACATAATCAAATTTCTCTCATTGATGATCTCCCCAATTTTAACGCGAGTACCAAACCTTAATATTAAGTGAAGTAACCAAACGGGGCTATGGTACCTTGTAATTGAAAGTTTTTAAACTGCTCCTACGTGTATGACATATGTAGTGTGTGTACCTTCAGTAAATACACTCGTAAACCCCTATTCACCATAATTACCGTGGCCTACTCCATTTATAATTTTTTTAAAGGATATACATAACTAATAACAGAATTTATACAATTAATTAAGATAATATGCAAATAATAGTACTCAAGTTTTGATTTCATATTTTTTATGCGCGTGTCAAATCGCGCGCTATATAATTTTATCAAAAGAATAAAAAAGAACCAATAAAAGCTTGTGTGTGTTGTGAGCTATAAATATTGCATTGAAAATTTCTATGCTTGCTGCTAACGTTTATTTCCATTCCTGATTAAGGCAAATGATATATTCGCCGAAAGGTTGTGAAAGATTTTCTTCTGGCCGAGGTATAAATTAAAGATGAATATTATAAAAAAATATGATAAATAAACATACATATGCTAAAAATATATATGCAGTAGAAAGCAATAAATTCAACTCTAGAGCAAGTGCTTCCGGACCCGCGTTCACAGAGATCACTTTAAATGATCCTCCAGCTTTTCTAAACTGGGAAGTTGGGCCAGGTTACGTAAGCCGGGCTATCGCGAGCAAACATAACCCAGATGTAGTAACCTTGGTTGGGACATGTCTTGATAACTCTTCCTTTTCGAGCCCGAACTTTGATCACTATCATATGGGGCTTATTTATATCACTATGACATATAGGGATTTTTTTATATCCCTATAAGATAGGGCTTTTTTTTTTTAGATCACTATCACATAGGGCTATTTTATATCACTATGACATAGGGCTTTTTTATATCCCTATGACAGGGCTTTTTTTTAGATCACTATGATTCATAGGACTTTTTTTTATCTCACTATGACTCAGGGTTGTTTTAGATCACTATCACATAGGACCTTTTTAAATTACTATGACATAGGGCTTTTTTTTATATCACTTTGACATAGGGCTTTTTTTATCTCACTATGACACAGAGTTGTTTTGGATCACTATCACATAGGACTTTTTTTATATCACTTTGACATAGGGCTTTTTGGTAGATCACTATGAAATATAGAGCTTTTTTGTAGATCATTAAAAAATAGGGGTCTTTTTTTTTTTTTTTTTGTAAATCATTATTACATATGTGTGTGGCTTTCTTGTAGATTTCACTATGACAAAAGTTTTTTTTTTTGTAGTTAACTATCACATAAGACTTTCTTATAAGACATTGTAATATGAGGTTTTCTTATATAGAAAACGTAGACGTAGGACTTTCTTGCAGCATTCTTCTTGGATCTTTGCTATTTATGGCGTTCTTGTAGATTCCTAAGACCTAGAACATTTTTTTAGATCATTACGAGATTAAAATCATTATGAAATTATTATGTTTGATATCCCCATATCTGTTTTTAAGAAGTCCCCCATGATTATCTACAGGTTCAATATAGACAAAGCTATCTCAGGTTAATGGAAGAGAGAGAAAATAGAGGTAACCCGAGCTCCTGGAGCGTAAATCGCCAACTACCCGGTTAATGGAATAAAATGATAGATATTGAATATTTCAAGATTTAAAAAAAAAAAAGAATATTTTCGAGCTCAAAGAATATGTTCCACCTGGTCTTTATTTGGATGTTATCGGACCACATATCGACAATGGGATAACTAAGGAAAAAGCCGCCACCAAGATTTATTTTTAGAAACAACTATTTGTAAAACAAATTTTTTAAGTCATCAGGTAATTTTAGGATGAAGTGTGCGAGCCTGGACTGATCTCTCTGGAGAAGGCCAACAGTTTTGGAAAATCTCGTGATTTATATATGATGTGTATTTCTTCATCATACAGATAAAGGAAGCTTTCAAATAAATACTATAACACACCATATGCACTGTATGCTGCTTTCTATTTCCTTGTGTGATGAACCTTGTTCGACAGGACAATACGGAGGACATCATAAGGCAGTATAAACGCTGAGTTGATCTCCTAGCCTCGGTTTGGATTTGAGTATAGGTCAGTAGGTTTAGGAAGAGGCCCTTACAATAAATATTTTCAGAGTTAGCTCGGCTTTAATCAATGACTTCCACCCCGGTTACATAATAACAACGCTATCTAGCTCCTTCGATTCGTGATACCACCCACCACGATGTTTAAAGAGTATCAAGTTCTGTGTTTAAATTTGAAATCTCTGCCTCAGCAACAGGTTCTTTTACATCTAAACAAGCAGAAACACGCTGGAATTCTAATTTAATG